ACCATACCCAATTGAGTGTGTATGTTATTCCCTCCTTAAGCCAAAACTGATAAGAATAAGATTCACTCATTTCCTCTCACCTTCCCCCATTTCCCCTCCACTGTAAAAGCCTTTTCTTGTCTGTTTTATGTGAGATCATTTACCCCATTTTACCTCTCCCTTTCTCCTCCCATATAATCCTCTCATCCCTTAATTTCATTCTCCAGATATCACCCCTTCATCTTCAATTCACCCTGTGCATCTATCTATCTATCTATCTATCTATCCATATATACATATAATTTTTTCCCTCTAACTACCCTGATACTGACAAAGGTCTCATGAGCTACAAATATCATCGCTCCATGCTGTAATGTAAACAGTTCAACCTTAAAGAGTCACTTATGATTTCTCTTTCCTGTTTACCTCTTCATCCTTCTCTTGATTGTATTTTAAAGTCAAATCTTCTATTCAGCTCTGGTCTTTTCATCAAGAATGCTTGAAATTCCTCTATTTCACCGAATGTCCATTTTTTCCCTGGAAGGACTGTATTCAATTTTGCTAGGTAGGTGATACTTGACTGTAATCCTATCTTCTTTGCCCTCCGGAATATTATATTCCAAGCCCTCTGGTCCCTTAATGTGGAAGCTGCTAAATCTTGTGTTATACTGATTGTGTTTCCACAATACTTGAATGGTTTCTTTCTGGCTGCTTCAATTTTCTCCTTGACCTAGGAACTCTGGAATTCAGCTACAATATTCCTAGGACTTTTCCTTTGGGGATCTCTTTCAAGAGGTGATCAGTGGATTCTTTCCATTCCTATTTTCCCTCTGGTTCTAAAATATCAGGGCAGTTATCCTTGACAATTTCTTGAAAGATGATGTCTAGGCTCTTTTTTTTGATCATGGCTTTCAGATAGTCTAATAATTTTAAAATTATCTCTCCTGGATCTATTTTCCAGGTCAGTTGTTTTTCCAATGAGATATTTCACATTGTTTTCTATTTTTTCATTCTTTTGAATTTGTTTTACAGTGTCTTGATTTCTCATAAAGTCACTAGCTTCCAATTGCACCATTCTAATTTTTAAGGAAGTATTTTCTTCAATAGGCTTTTGGACTTCTTTTTCCATTTGGCCAATTCTGCTTTTTAAGGCATTCTTCTCCTCATTGGCTTTTTGGACCTCTTTTGCCATTTGGGTTAGAACTATTTTTTAAGGTGTTATTTTCTTCAGTATTTTTTTGGGTCTCCTTTAGCAAGCTGTTGACTTGTTTTTCGTGATTTTCTTGCATCACTCTCATTTCTCTTCCCAGTTTTTCCTCTACTTCTCTTACTTGCTTCTCAAAATCCTTTTTGAGTTCTTCTGTGGCCTGGAACCAATTCATATTTTTCTTGGAGGCTTTGGATGTAGGAGCTTTGAGTTTGTTGTCTTCTTCTGATTGTATGTTTTGATCTTCTTTGTCACCATAGACAGATTCTATGGTCTGACTTTTTTTGTGCAGTTTGCTCATGATCCCAGCCAATTACTTGAGTTATAAACTCTTTATTAAGCTAGCAGTCTGCTTCCAGTGTGGAGAATGTACTGTCCCAAGCTTTGGAGGTTCTGCGCAGCTGTTTTCAGAGATACTTCTAGGGACCTGTGAATTTTCAGTTCTTCCAAGGTGGTATGATAAGGGGTGAGGTGTTTACTCCTTTCCTGGCCTGTGCTCTGGTCTATGAGTGACCATAAGCACTCTTTTCTGTCTTGGAACTGTGAGAAGGATTTTCTCTTTACTGCCACTACATGCTCCACCATACCAGTGCTCCTCCTCGTCTCAGGACTGCCATCCAGAACTGTGACCCAGATCCAAGCACAGGCAAAGCAAGAGAATCCTGCCTCAGTACCAGAAAAGAGATCTCTGCAATCCCCCTCTGATTAGCCACTCAATTCACTCTCAGTCTGTGGGCCAGAAGCTTTGGAAGCCTGAGGGCTGCTCCAGGACTGGGGCTGGGACCCAGCTTGTCTCTCACCGGTCCAACAGACCTTTCCTACTGACCTTCTAAGTAGTCTTTGGTGTTTGTGGGTCGAGAAGTCTAGAAACTGCCATAGCTGCCACAGTTGACTGATTTAGTCCTCCGAGGCCTACTCCAGGTTTGCTGAGGCCTGTTTTGCCTGCTCGCCCATGCTGAACTGCGTTTCTGTCCCACCCCAGCACAATAGACCTTTCCAGTTAACCATCCAGGTCGTCTGGGGCTGGAAATTTGTTTCACTCCGTCTTTTTGTGGGTTCTGCTGCTTTAGAATTTGTTTAGAGCCATTTTTTACAGGTATTTGGAGGGGTTTGGGGGAGAGCTCTAGCAAGTCACTGCTTTTACTCTGCCATCTTGGTTCTGCCCCCCCTCACAAACAAGGTTAAGTGATTTGCCCAGGGTCACACAGCTAGTGTTTGAGGCTGGATTTGGACTCAGATCTTGCTGACTCCATACCTGGTGCTCTATCCACTGCCCCACCTAGCTGCCCTCTGATCTAATAGAAGACAAAACAGAACAAAGCTGAAAAGCAGGAGTTTGTGGGAAAGGTACTCTATGCAAGGACTTCATAGAGAACTCAGGGAATTTCCAAGGTAGTACAGGGGAGAAATGAAGCAATATCTGAGCCTGGTTCTCTCCTTAAGTGGAGAACTGGAGTTCAGGCCCCTATTCTCTAATCAGAGATGTCAGGCTAGTTATTCAGTGGAGTCCTAAAATTGCTGAGATCTTGTGGGATGATGAGATTATCCAAATAAATGAGTTTCCTAAGGCATAGTGGGATGAGGGCTTCTATCTGAGCTTAGTACAAAACACAGAACAGTGGCTTCTCTTCCCTGGGAGACCCTGGAGGAAGTAGCTTTGACAATTATTCCATGGACCATACCTCTGCACCTTTTCTCTGAAACACTTCAAATTTACTTTCTCAAAATCTAGGGTACAGTTACATTTTGTTTGGGTTTTTGTGGGGGGGTTTTTGGTAGTTTGATTTTAAAGTAAAAGATTTTATAACATCAAAGTGTACATTTTCCTTTTTATTGGATATTAAAAAATATTTTCAAATATTAGCAAAGGTTCTGATCAATTTAGCATGAATATATATTATGATATCAAATTTTTAGCTTAGTCACTTTTCTTCCATAACATTTAAAATCATTCTAAGGCCCATGTGCTACTCTGCACTCTGACAAAAATATTTTGAAATATAATTTTTTATACCTAAATGAAAAATCACACTGCCTATATCTTGACAGCATAGGATACAATGAAACATACCTCCAGCAACTGATGAGGTGCTTGGGTGCCTGTGCTTGGACCTCAAATTTCTCCCTGGCCTCAGAAAAACTATCCCTAAAAGTTTCACTCCTGCCTAAGGACCCTATCTCTAGCAATAACTCATGAGTGGGTCCAGTGAGGCAAACCATCTCTTCCTGTTACAAGAACAAGCTGACCTCTGTAGAACTTCCCTTGTATGAAGAGGACTATCTTGCACCAGCAGAACTATCAAGTACTGAAGCCCACAGCTACTGTGTACAATCCAGAGGTCAAGCTATAGATGTGAACTCCTGAAACTATATTGTTACAGACATTACAGACCAAAAACACAGCCCTTAGGAAAGCCCTCTTCCCGGTTTCCAGTAGGGAATGACTCCTGTAACTAAGGCTGTGTGTTATCACCTAATTAGCATACTTGGCACATAATCCACTACTTTTCCTGTATAAGTTGTAGCATCATTCCTGTCAGGGCGCAAGTTCCCTAAGAAGCTCTGCCCACCATGGCAGTTTCCTTGAGAATCCTTGCCCACTGTGTAGCATAAAAATAAATTTCTGCCACCTTGACTTAAAGAATGCTTGAGTCTGTGAAATCATTCCAGACAACCCCATTCTACGCTCTGTTCTTTGAGGGGGTCTCAACCTCTCAGACCACAAAACAATTGAACATATCTGAATTACATTAGGAAAAGTTTATGGGAGGGGGGGAAAACCATATAAATTATTTTTTCCCCGACAAATGAAGGAGTTTTATTTCTAAGAATCACTTAATGTAGTAAAGTTTATGTAGCTTTTTCCTTTTTTTTTTTTGGATAAATCATTTAACATATTAAAAAGCACCCCACAATTTTTAGAAAAATACATTCTCTGACCTAGGGAAACAATAAAGAAATAAGTACATGTGTATCACTTAAGAAGTAAACTTTTGTATTTTATAATTTATGCTTGAGTGATAGTCATGCATCAGAAAAGAATGTCACCAACTTCAGTCACTTGACAGTTACTAGCTATGTTTCCGTGGGCAAGTCACTTGACCCCAACTGCCTCACCAAAAAGGAAAAAGGAAAATTTTTTTAAAAAAAGGATGTCGGAAGTGAGAAGACATGTTTAATTATTTCCTCCTATCTTGTTGAAAATAAAAATCCATCGTAAGATTATGAGGTTGTGATATAAAACACATTTAGTAGAATACATTTTGTAAATCTGACTATCTTTTAATTTGCTTGGGGCCATTTTCTCTTCAGGGAATAGGCATTATCACATGCAAGAAATGTTGCCTCTTTGATTTTCAAAGTTAACAATATCTCAGAAGAGCAAGGGAAGAGAGATACCCCCCTCCCCTATTTCAGAATTCTTCCTCTTTCACTGCAGATGTAGTGGGTTATATTTGTAGAATATGACTTATACTGTCGAGGCAATAAAGGTGTTACTTAGATTTCTTCAGTTGCTTTCTCTCTCTTTTTATTCCTTGTTATAAGCGATGATTCTTGTATAGGGAAGGGGAAAAATATATTTGGGCAGGGGAATGCAATGTAAAAACAAACATCCTAATAACATTTGAAAATACAACCTAGAATTTTGGGTGATAATAAAAGCACTCACTCAGCCTACGAGAACAGTTAGATGGCGCAGTCCACAGAGTGGAGTCAGGAGGACTGAGTTCAAATTTGGCCTTAAACCTTTATCAGCTCTGTGACTCAGGGCAAGTCATTTAACCTTGTTTAAAGCTCAGTTTCCTCACCTCTAAATGGAGCCAGAGAAGGCGATGGCAAACAACTCCAGCATCTTTGCCAAGAAAACCCCAAATGGGGTCAGGAAGCACTGAACAGGACTGAACAGCATGGCACCTACAATTTCCTGATCCTGTTCTCTGCTGTTTTTTTGAAAAATTGGACATTCCTGCTTCTCCTGTTGTTCCTCTCCCATTATTCATGTTCTTGCAATATCACAGTCACAGGCTCAGCAACCACATCTGTCAGTTCTTTCAGGAGTAAGGAAGAAAGGAGGGGCAGCCACGTGGTGCAGTGGGCCAACGGCATCCGAGGGTGATGTCTTGACTTGTGGGTGAATTGGCTTTAGGTGAGGCCAAGCTGTGCAAAGTCACCAGCCTCATTCTCACCTCCACATTCACCAGAGTCCAGTGGCAGCTGGTGATGGCTACTGATGCAGTGGGAGACCTTGGCCTTTCCCGGGGTCTCAGTTCATCTGAAGCAACACCCATTCAGTAATTAAAGGCTAGGCTAGTAATTGAGGCAAAAGATGGACTAGTTTGTCTTCACAAAAGAATCAGTCTGGGAGGAAAAGACTCTCAGAGTGTCATAGAGTTCTGGGTATGGCAGACGGAAGACCTGAGTTCAAATCCAAGTTCAGTCACTTGCTAGCTGTGTGACCCCGGACAAGTCACTTTACCCTAGTTTCCACATCTATAAAATGGTGTCTATAACAGCACTTGCTTTCCAGGGTTGGTGTGAAGACCAGGTGAGATAGTCATTGTAAAGTACTTAGCCTTGCCTGGAACACAGTGAGCTCCACTTAAACGTTAGCTCTTAGTTTTATTTAGTCCGTCTACCAAAGGACTGGCATTCATGAGGTAAGGGGAGGAGCAGAGGGGGCGGGGCTCCTGGCAGGAAGGGCGGGGGAGGCAGGACCGCATTCCAGGCCGGGGGAGGGGCGGAGCCCCAGGCATGCGCAGGAGGTGCCTAGCCTCCGGACCACGATTCCCAGAAGGCCATGCTCGCCTCAGGGGTATTTTTCCAAGCTCAAGGGCCGGAGGATTAGACTGCCATTTTACCATGACGCTTCCGCTTCCTTTTCTCTCGACTTCTTCCACGCTTGGTGGTTCCCGCTTCCCCTTCCCTGTCCTGAGCTGAAGTGTGACGGGGTGAGCGGGGGCCGAAAGCGGGGCCGGGGCCGGGGCCAGGCCCAGGCGGAGCCGGCTGTGGGGGTGCGGGGGGGTCGGAGCACTGGGGGCTGGCTGGGGAGGTCACGGAGAATGGGAGGAGCGTCCGCCAGAGGAGGAAGGAAGCCCCCTGAGCGTCTCCCACACGTCCGGGGGCGGCCCGTGCGGGAGTGGGGTGGGGGGCGGGGGTTGGAGGCCCATCAGGCGGAGGCGGAACCTGGAGGCGGGTTCCAACCCTCTTTCAGTCACGCCCGCATCCCGTGACCACGGTCTGGACCTGCCCCTCCAGGCCTCAGCCCTTGCCCTGTTCCCAGAGTCCCAGGGAATGTGCTTCTGGTGTGTGTCTGTTTGGTCCTCGGTGCGGGCTTCCCGTGGCCTCATCTCCTCCTCCCAGCATCCTCCTGGGTAGCGCCTCCTCCGGGAAGCCTTCCCTGATGCTGCCAGGGACCAGTGCCCTCCCCTTGCCGAAAGGGTCACCTGTCTGTTCTCTAGTTTGTCTCTAAAGAGATGCTGGCACCAAGACAGCCCCCCCCCAAGGAGAGAAATTGTCGAGGTTCAGGTTTTCTGGGACCCCTAAATATCGAGAGCAAGAGTGAATGTCCAAATAAATTCGACCCAAACCTTTCAGTCAAAGACAAGGTTCTGCCGTATTGGCCAGACTCTTAAGGAATCTAAACATTTGTGACAGAATATTGACCAGCGGGCTAGAGTACCTCTCAGCCATTGCCTAGATTTTAAGAATCGGAGCACTTTAATGGAGACAGGATGGATCTTATATACAGAAAGACTGTGGGAGGGATCTAGGAGTGGGCAAGTAGTTTGTGGAGGAGAGGTTTGGGAGCAGGGGTCTGGCAAGGATCTTGATGGGGGTGACTGGGAGGTAGAATGGGGTCCAGATAGGATCAAGAGTGGGAAATGTCTGAGGGTGATTGGGAAGTAACAGACAATGAAAGTTGGGCTTGGTTAAGGGTAACAGAATTGGGAGATTGGGCATAGGCTATAATGAAAGGCCATAAGATTATAGCCTTCAGGGAAATGTTCCCGACAATCAATCAAGTGGGAGAGTTCGAGGAGGGTCCAAGTTCAGGTTTTCTAGGGCCTGAAGACAAGTGGGGCCCAAATTCTTTTTGGGGTAATGAGCAAAGATCTCCACTTGGGCCCATATCCCGTCATTTCCCCCTCAAACAAATGGAACCCAAATTCTTTTGGGGTGAAGGGCAAAGGTCTTGGCTTGGGTCCATACCCCATCAAAATGACTGTTTCCTTCTGGCCCTTTCCTACCCCCACCTCCCAGTACTATGCCTCCCTCCCTGATCTACCCTGCAGTGGAGAAATAGGAATTTCTAGTCTCTGAGCAAGGGAGACCCGACAGCATGACCCCTAATTCTCCTGGTTCTCCTTTCCTCCCCAGCTCTATCTTGTGTGGCCTCTGCTCTGCCCCAGTAGGTGGGAACCTTGAGGAAGAGGGAATGGCTTCTGTACTGACAGCCAGGTCAGGAAAGGTGAGTGCCACTTGCTTCTTTCCTGAAACAGCATCTCAGGCCAGAGACTGTGGGATAGGTTTCTTTGTCCTGTGCTGTTAATGCTAGAAATTGTGGGCATCAGAGAATCATATAACCACAGACACCAATTTATCCTCTCCACACATAAAAAACCAAACATACATTTACTTTATTGTTGGGTTTTTTTTAATTTTGAGTTCCAAATTCTTTCCCTCCCTCCAATCCTCCCCCCACCCATTGAGAAGGCAAACAATAGGGTATCCATTATAGATGTGAAATAATATAAAACATTTCTGATGCAGTTTGGGTTGCTGTGAACCCCAAAATGTCAGGTTACAGGGCAGCTTCTGCCTGGAATTAATTCAAGCACTGAAACCTCCTTCCAGTGAAAAGACAAGGTTTATTGTAAGGCCAATATAGTGCGCAAGATTCTTAGGGATCCTGCAACTTAATGGGGATCAGACTGATTCTTATATACAGTGAAAAGATTTGGATGGGATTAAGGAGTGGTAAGTATTCTGGGGTGGACCAGATATGACAGTGAAAGGAATGTCAAGAAAGCTCTTTAAGTGATCTAGGTGGGCTGGATTTGGCCAGTGATCTGAAATGTATGGGAAAATTCAGGGACTGGTTTGCTTTCAAAGACATGGCCTTTACCTTTTAGGGGTTCCAGTTCCCATTGTCCCAGGGATCCAGGGGCAAGATATAGATTAGGAAGAACGGAGAAGTCCCAGGATGCAGTGAGAGACCTTGGTGTTTTGAAGCTAAAGTCTTTAGGAGTTCTCACTTTGACGGAGGCAAAGCCCCATTCAGTGATTAAGGCTGATTTAGAAATGAGGGAAGAAATGGCCTCTCTTATCTAACAAAAAATTAATAAATAAAATCCATCTGGGAGGGCAAGACCCTCAGGGTTTCTCACTATTTACTTAGTAGATGGGGTACTGGAGCCCAAACACTGACCACCAGCTGGTGCTTGAGCTGGGATCTATTGTTGGCCAATCCAGGAGAACTAGAGTGAATTGGGTTTAAGGCATGGTCTTTAAGAAAGAAATCTAGCCTGTAAACCCCAAGGGCATGATAGCTCATGTACTGAGAGGGAGAGATAGGAGGGAAGACAGAATAGAGGAAGGAGCTGAGTTGCCCAACTGGAACTGACCAATTGGGTCCCCAGTGAGGCAGCTCAAACTACTCATAAGTTATTGTTTGTCCTTCATTCTGAAGAGGACCATGTCATAAGGAAGATGATGCCATGACTTGCAAATGAATTGGATTTAAGTGAGGGTGGACTGTACAAGGTCACTACCCTCACTTTCTTCTCTGAAGCCATTTGAGTCCAGTGGCAAGATATAGATGAGCAAGACTTGAGATGGCCACTTCTGTTGATGGATCTACAACTTGGACGAGCCATTCTTTTTTTTTTTTAAGGCAGTTGGGGTTAAGTGATTTGCCCAGGGTCGCACAGCTAGTAAGTGTCAAGTGTTTGGTCTGAGGCTGGACTTGAACTCAGGTCCTCCTGACTTCAGGGCCAATGGACCAGCCATTCTTGAAAGCACTTTGGAATAATGCTGAGAAAATTACTAAACTGTGCGCATACTCTTTTGCCCAGTAGTACTACTACTAAGTGCAAAGGGATCAAAGAAAGAGAAAATGACCCATATGTACAAAAATATTGATAGCAGCTCCTTTTGTAGTGGCAAAGAGTTGGAAACTGAGGAGATTCCAATCATTTGTGGAATGGCGGAGCATGTTTTGATATATAAAAGTGATAGAAAAATAATTGTAACATAAGAAATCACACAAGGAACTTTTTCATAGAATCCTAGGAAGACTTGTCTGAATCAGTGCAGAATGAAGTAAGCAGAGCAGTAGAAAAATTTATCCAGTGGCAATATTGTGAGTACAAAAAACTCTGAAAGATTTAAAAACTGATTAACACAGTGACCACCTATTGTTTTCAAGAGGATTCCTGATGAAATATGCTGCCCAACTTCTGACATTTATGTGATTGACCTTTATTCTTGACATTCCAGTGAATAATCTGAATTAATTTCTCTTTAAGTGTTGACAGATTTGACCTCTTTGCTTTCCAAGGGACTCTTAAAAGTATTCACCAGCACCACAATTCAAAAGCATCCATTCTGTGGCACTCAGCTTTCCTCATAATTTGGACATGGCCAGTGTGGGAATTTATTTTGCTTGCCTATGAGTTGTTATTAGAAGGATTTTGCCTATCTTTTTTCCCCCTAATGTGGAGGGGGAAGTGGTAGTACTATAGAAAACAGATTTTTGTTAAGGGTGGCCCTTCTTCCTTAGACTGGAGGAGGAAAGATGAGAAGAATCCCTTCTGGTTTAGGTGTTCCTTCCTTCTAGTACCCTAGTACATCATACATTTTTATCTCATGTATAATAAGGGTTTAAGACTCAAGTTCTTGATTCATATCTGCTTTTTGGGTAAGTGCTGTGTTAAAGTGAATTAAACTAGAGAGTTTCAACAGGAAGCATAGTACAAAGAAGACCAGATTTTGTATCAGAAGGCTTGCATTTGAGAGTTAGCCATTATTTTTAATAGCCATTTGACTTGAAGCATAACTAATCATGAGAATAAAGATGTTTTTAATTACCATTAATTGAATATGAATAAAAAAAGAAATAGATCAATATAAAAAAATAATGGAGAGACAACTAACCCTGAAAGAAATTATTCTAGTGACAAATGTTAGAAAAAGATTTTTAAAACCTAGTTTGGAGGCAAGATCAGAGAATAGTGAAGTTCTTGTTTCAGGGTTGATGGGATGGTGGTAATAAGGGATACCTGTGAGAAAGCTATACAACTTATATCTTCTTTGGCTTTTGTTTTTTCATTGTAGAATGATTAATCTGGAGAGGATAAGTCTATGATCAGTCCAGCAATACGCACCATGCATTGCCTTCATCACCTCACATCCTCTCAGTCTCTTCTCCTTACAATCACATGGTCTGTTAAATGGCAGTGTTTGCTGTGGAGGGTGCATCTAGGATGTTTTATTGTGTTTAGTAAATGGAAGATAGTGTTGGTGATAAGAAGGTCATGAGATACACAATTTTTCAGTAGTAAGTGACCACTGCTGTTTTTCCAACTGCATACCTCCCAAGGACTCCTTGTCATGTCTGGTAGTCTGAGCCTATTCTAGCATTAATGCTTTAAAGTCACTCAGAATTAGAAATTTGTCCCCTTTTGGCACATTGATGATTAAAGTCTCCAGGTGTTCATAACATTTTTCTTTGACCTCATCAGGGTTCATCATGGTGGAAGCATAGGCATTGATGATGGTGGTATGGCGTTGTCCTGCAAGTGGCAGTCGCCTTGTCATGGGTCTGTTCACTCATTTTGGTAGGCATACAAGCCCTCACAACAGAAGTACTAGTCTTCCCTGAACCCCTCCTGCCCTTACATAATGGTAGTTAGGTTTGAATGTAGACTGTGTCATCATGTGGATCATCATGGATCATCATCATCATGGATGAGATCTGATCCATTTCAAATATATTTTCCTGCCTCTCCAGCTGGGTTCATAGGACATATCCTAAGCTCTCTTACCTTCTTTTTCCCACCTCCCAAACGCAGTGATTTTTTTTTTTGCTATTTTGTTACAATCTTCCCATGGTTTGAAAATGAACTTGTACTCTAAACTATTGTTAGGTTTCTCCACTTGCTAGATGAAGCCCTGGAAACAAACATGAAATATATCCCCAATTATCTGCTTTCCTTCTGATCTTGGCTATATTTGTTTTATTTATACAAATCCTTTTAAATTTAATGTAATCAATATTTATACCTGGCTGTGCTATCTCTTGTTTATTTATAATTGTTCACCTGTCCATAAGTCTGAGAAGTAATATGTTTAGCTTCTTTCTTCAGTTACCTGAAGTTCAACATCTTTTTCATTGTTTTTAAGAAAATTATATTTTTGTAATTTTGTGCATTATGTTCTGTTGGGTCTGCCTATTTTACAGTGTCAGTTAATGTATATCTTCCAATGCTTCTCAGAATTCTCCATGTTTGTCCTTTTTACCTATATAAGTGACAGTGTGATTCATATGCCATTTTTTTCTAGCTGTCCTTTACTGGTGAGAATTCAGTTTGTTTCCAGTTCTTTGCTGCCCCAAAGAGTGCTCTCATGAATGTTTTTATGCAGTCTCTGCTGTGGCCTTGGTCTGGTTATACAGAAAGTGAATGGCTACATGGTTCAGTGAGAATCGCCAGAAGGACCTGGGCTTAAAGTGCTCATCTACTATTTACTCCCCTTTTGACCTTATGCAAGTCACTTTCTCTCTCTGGTCCTTACTTCCCTAATGTTTAAAATGAGCAAATTGGAGTCTAAAGTCTTACAGCTCTAAATATATGAATTGGAAAGTTATGGTTCTTTAACACCCTTTTCAGCAGTAAAAAATTGTTCACACGCTGTTACAGACAGGAGATTGTGATCCCCTATGCTTGCCTTTACTCTTATGGTTCCAGGAGCATTGAACACAATCATGTTCATTTCAGAGCACCACATTTCAAGAAGCACAATGATTGGATGAAAAGAGGAAAGTAATTGCCTTAGTTGTGAAGAGATCAGGCTGATTGGTCAAAGGAAATGGGCATGTTTAGATTGGAAGAGAAGCCTTAGGACCACATGATAGCTATCTTCAATTATTCCATTTTCATTGCTTATTTTAGCAAGTAGAAAAGGATTTAGCCATGTTACTGCTTAATCTCAGAGGGCAGAAGTAAAAAAAAACCCACACATTTAAAATTTATCTTGTTGGAATAATTTACAGCAATAAGCATTAGTTAAGCACTTACAAATTGCCAGGCGTTGTGCTAAAAGTTGAAGATACAAAGGATGGCAATAATGACTCCTGCCCTTAAGGACCTTACAAACTAATAAGAGAGGAATTCTTTTCTAACATTTTTTATTCATTTAATTTTTAATTTATGGAATAAAACAAGCATTCTAGAAACATAGTATGATTTAAAAAAATGATTGCACGTGAAACTACAAGTCTATTATGTACAACTTCCTACTTCTTTTAAATATGTAAATAAAATTATCATATAAATTTCTTTCCCTTCTCTCCTCCAACCCTATAGATAGCTACTATTAGACAGAAATGTGTGTATGTGTGTGCTGGTGTGTGGTGTGTATGTAAAATCATTCTATACCTACTTGTATTTATCACTTCTATCTGAGGAATTCGTAAGTGCCTGCCATATACCAGACACTGTACTGAGCTATAAATAAACAAATAAATAAATGAGTCAATCCCTTTTGGCAAGTGAAAGGTGAAATGACCGGGGAAACAAAGGTTCAGTCTTTTGGGTATATCAGTTTTATATTAAGCAAGGCATGACACTTGTAGAACAAACTGAGACATCAATATCCTGTACCACTTGCTGTCCTAAAACCCTCAATTCCCCTTATCCTACTGGCAAGCAATTTACATTTGAACTTCATAACAGAGCTGTGGCTGGGTAAGCACAAATATTTTTGTTATTTCAGGAATTAGTCACATTCAAGGATGTGGCTGTGGAATTCACTCCAGAGGAGTGGGTACAATTGAACCCATCTCAGAAAAAGTTGTATAGAGATGTGATGCTGGAGAACTATAGGAACTTGGTCTCTTTGGGTAAGAACAGCTACTCCTTTGAAGTCCTGATGTATACTATGACAACTTTCAAGATTTTAACAGTTATTCTTTGGTGTACAAGAGAAAAGTTTTCTTAATCCTTTGGTAGCCAAGAGACAGATTACTTGTGCTGTTTCCAGGAAAAAAAGATCTTTGCATAGTATTCCTGGAAATTGATTTCTTGAATTGTCATCCTTGAGAATATATTATCCCCTCTCTGTTGTTTCAAATCCAAGATTTTCTTTTTAATCCCAATGTAAGTTTCATCATATAAAATATTACCACTGTCTAAACAGGGAATGAGTCAAATGAACTATTTTTTCCAAACTCCTACTCAGTAATCCATTCTACTATAATATATCCTTTGTACTGTCCTTGAGGTCTTCCTAGCGTACCTTCTTTTTTCCCAAAGAGGGCTGAAACTAGTTTTGAATTCTTTTATTAAGTTTTATGGATGCTTTTTAAAAAAAATGTAATTTTTCCTCCCCCTGAAACAAAAAACCCCCGAGAAAACCATACTTTTCTCTCCACCTAGCACATTAAGCCCCACATGTTTGAAAGACAAAAATCTCAGACAAAATCAGCTAACATAGTGCTCTTGGTAGTGTAAGATACATTCAGTGCCCTTATTCCTCCACCTTTCTACTAAGATTGGGATGGAATATTTCATCTATATATGATAGAACTCTGAGGTCACTCCCTAGCACTTTTTCTTTTCAATGAACAGGATTTGCAGTTTCCAAACCAGATGTGATCTACCAATTGGAAAGAAAGGAAGCATCTTGGATGCCAAAGGCAGATATTCCAAGAAGCAGCTGTCCAGGTGACTACATAAAAACCCAACACATGGGTCATTGCAGAATAGTGATTTGTTGGTTATTTTAGGTCAGAGCTCTTGTAAATGTTGAACAAAGTGGCCTATCAAAGCCTCTTAGGCCTATTGAGAGGAGCTGAGACTTTCCAACCCCCTTTTGTTTTATCTTAAGAAGTTACTTTTTTTATGTATCTCTTTACTGAAATGTTACTCTCTAAGCATGTTGTTGCCTTAGTATAGGTCAGTTATTTCTCTTGTGTTCATTGAAGAGTATTTTCTCTTATGCAGGCATTCTCCTGCCTCACTTACATGAATCATTCTCCCTTTTAACATAAGTATATTACTTAAGATATTAATAATGTGCACTTTTTGCTTCTTAGTTCTCTTCTGATATTTTCTTTTGTTTTTTGATTATGTTACTTTGGTGTTGTTTTTAAAATATTTAATCCGAACCTAATTCCCCTTGCTTCAGTCTGTCTTGTTATGTGTCATCCTGTTTTTCTTTATGCTTTGAAATTATGTTTATAAAGGCTCATTATTATGTTCATGTGACAGGACTTAATGTAGCCATAACTCCATCATTGTACCCGTAAGTTTTCAATATTTTGCTATTTCATAAAAACCTTTTGTGAAAAGTTTATGTCGAGTTGTTTGCTTTCAGTAACATTTTGAGAATGCACACCTAGTACTGGGACCATTGGATCAAATATGAACAATTTTGTAGCTCTAGCTGAAAAAATTCAGAAAAATGGCAGTAGCAGCTTAATAAGTAGCTATTTCAACATGATTGCCAAAATTGCTCATTTTAAAGTATCTTTGCTAATCTGATGACTTTTTGTTGCTACTTCCAAATTATTTTCATTTTTATTTCTTTGATTACAAGAGTTTTGAGTAATGTTTCAGGTAATTATTAATAATTTCTGTGTCAAAAACACCTGTATGTCTTACTCTTACAAATTTCAGTCAGTTCCTTACAAAGTAGATATGTTGGATTTTTAGAGAAAATTTATGGCAACAATTGTCATTTTTCCTCTCATATGTCTTTATTTTGTTCCCTTCATGTATGTATTTCTCTTCCTCCTCCAAACTGAATTCTCTATTTTCTTCCTTTTCAGTCTTTTCTCTTCCTATTTTCACCTCAGATAGTAAGGATACATTTACCATTTCTCAAACTTATCTGTTTTTTCCTCAGTAGTTTTATTCCATTCAAATGTCAGCCAATTGAAATAGAGTAAGGGCTCATTCACTCATCCAGGTAATTTCATCCTCAATCAAATCATGTATATATCTTACCTTTGAGTCATCATACTTTCAAATAAGATAAATTGATTCTTAGTAAAAGAGTAGTAAGACTAGCCCTCTCTAATGAGCAGGCAAGTGAATAGCTCTAAAACTTTTGAGCAACCAAGCACTTTGGGAAAGGGCAAAAAAGGCAGGGTTAATCAGCTCTTTATTCTTCCTTTCAGAGAGCAGAGAATTTTCTCAAGATAAACCTCTTGAATGTAATGAACATGAATTTCAGAAGGCCTTTAGGAGCAAGAAGCATTTTGCTGTATATCAGAAACTTCATACTGGAGATAAACCTTATGAATGTAGTGAATGTGGAAAGGCCTTCAGGGATAAGACACAATTTATAGTGCATCACAGAATTCATACTGGAGAGAAACCTTATGAATGTAGTGAATGTGGGAAGGCCTTCAGGAGTAAGACACAATTTATAGTGCATCACAGAATTCATACTGGAGAGAAACCTTACAAATGTAGTGAATGTGGGAAGATTTTCAATAGGAAGTCAAATCTTACTGTGCATCAGAGAATTCATACTGGAGAGAAACCTTATGAATGTAGTGAATGTGGGATGGCATTCAGGGATAAGACGCAACTTACAATCCATCGCAGAATTCATACTGGAGAGAAACCTTATGAATGTAGTGAATGTGGGAAGGCCTTCAGGATAAGGCACAACTTACTGTGCATCAGAGAATTCATACTGGAGAGAAACCTTATGAATGTAGTGAATGTGGGAAGGCCTTCAGGAGTAACTCACAACTTAGAGTGCATCAGAGAATTCATACTGGATACATACCCTATGAATGTAGTGAATGTGGGAAAGCCTTCAGGAAGAAGATACAACTTACAGTGCATTACAGAATTCATACTGGAGAGAAACCTTATGAATGTAGTGAATGTGGGATGGCATTCAGGGATAAGACACAACTTACAGAGCATCTGAGAATTCATACTGGAGAGAAACCTTATGAATGTAGTGAATGTGGGAAGGCCTTCAGATATAAAACACAACTTACAGTGCATCACAGAATTCATACTGGAGAGAAACCTTATGAATGTAGTGAATGTGGGAAGGCCTTCAGATATAAAACACAACTTACAGTGCATCACACAGTTCATACTGAAGAGAATCTTCATGAATGTAGTGAATGTGGGAAGGGCTTCAGGAGTAAGGCACAACTTGCTGTGCATCAGAGAATTCATACTGGAGAGAAACCTTATGAATGTAGTGAATGTGGGAAAGCCTTCAGGAGGAAGATACAGCTTACAGTGCATTACAGAATTCATACTGGAGAGAAACCTTATGAATGTAGTGAATGTATGGAGGCCTTCAGGAGCAAGAAGCACCTTACTGTGCATCAGAGAATTCATTCTGGAGAGAAACCTTATGAATGTAGTGAATGTGGGAAGATTTTCAACAGGAAGTCAAATCTTACTGTGCATCAGAAAATTCATACTGGAGAGAAACCTTATGAATGTAGTGAATGTGGGAAGGCCTTCAGGTGTAAGACACAACTTATAGTGCATCACAGAATTCATACTGGAGAGAAACCTTATGAATGTAATGAATGTATGGATGCCTTTAGGAGCAAGCAGCATCTTACTGTGCATCAGAGAATTCATTCTGGAGACAAACCTTATGAATGTAGTGAATGTGGGAAGATTTTCAATAGGAAGTCAAATCTTACCGTGCATCAGAAAATTCATACTGGAGAGAAACCTTATGAATGTAGTGAATGTGGAAAGGCCTTCAGGTGTAAGACACAACTTATAGTGCATCACAGAATTCATACTGGAGAGAAACCTTATGAATGTAGTGAATGTATGGAGGCCTTCAGGAGCAAGAAGTACCTTACTGTGCATCAGAAAATTCATACTAGAGAGAAACCTTATGAATGTAGTGAATGTGGGATGGCATTCAGGGATAAGACACAACTTACAATCCATCGCAGAATTCATACTGGAGAGAAACCTTATGAATGTAGTGAATGTGGGAAGGCCTTCAGATATAAAACATTACTTATAGCACATCACAGAATTCATACTGAAGAGAATCCTCATGATTGTAGTGAATGTGGGAAGGCCTTCAGGAGTAACTCACAACTTAAAGAGCATCAGAAAATTCATACTGGAGACATTCTTTATGAATGTAAGGAGTGTGGAAAGGCTTTCCCTTTCAACTCAAAGCTTATTGAACATCAAAGAATTCATACTAGAGAGAAAGCTTATGAATGTATTGAATGTGGAAAGGCCTTCTTTAGAAAGCTAGAGCTTACTGTGCATCACAGAACTCATACTGGAGAGAATCCTTATGGATGTAGTGAATGTGGGAAGGCCTTCAGGGATAACTCACAACTTAGCGTGCATCAGAGAATTCATACTGGAGAGAAACCTTATGAGTGTAGTGAATGTGGGAAGGTCTTCAGGAGTCAGACACTCCTTACTGTACATCAGAGAATTCATACCGGTAAGAAACCTTATGAATGTGGTGAATGTAGAAAGACCTTCAGGAGGAAGACACAACTTACTGATCATCAAAGAATTCATACTGGAGAGAAACCCTATGAATGCAGTAAATGTGGAAAGGCCTTCAGGAGGAAAGACCATCTTACTAATCATCAGAGAATTCACGCTGGAGGGATGTGATGAATATGGAAAGACCTTCCTGGATAAGACAGAATTTGTACTGCATCAGAGAATTCATAATGGAGAGAAACCTTACAAATGTAGTAAATGTAGAAAGGCTTTCAAGAATAAGTCATATTTTACTGATGATCAGAGAATTCATACTGGAGAGATGCGTTATGAATGTAAGGAATGTCGGATGGGTTTCCTCTACTACTCAAATCTTACTCTGCATCAAAGAATTCATAATGGAAGGAAATCTTATGGGTGTAGTGAATGTGGGAAGGCCTGCAGGGATAAGGCAGAACTTACAGTGCATCACAGAATTCATACTGGAGAGAAATCATATCAATGTAATGAATGTGGAAAGGCATTCAGGAGGAAGGACCATGTTAGTAGTCATCAGAGAATTCATACTGGAGACATCTTTAATAAATGTAAGGAGTATAGGAAGGCTTTCCCCTACAACTCACATCTTATTGGACATCAAAAAATTCATATTGAAGAGAGGCCTTCTGTATGTAATCAATGTGGGAATATGTTCAGAGTGAGGACACAACTTATTCAACATCAAAGAATTCATTTAGGAAAGAAACCTTAAGAGTGTAATGCATGGAGGATGGCTTTTAGATTGAGGACACTACTTTATGTCCATCAGAGAATCATCCTGGTGAGATTAGTCATGAATGTAAAGATTGTAGGAAGGCCTTCCATTGCAATTCAGATCTTAATTAGACATCAAAAATTCATGTTGAAGAAAAACCTTATGTGTAGAGTGAATGTGGGAAGGCCTTCAGGAAGAAGCCTCATGTTACTGTGTATCAGAGAATTCATACTGAAGAAATTCTTTATGAATGTTAGTAGTGTGGGAAGGCCTATCATGTCAGAGCTTTCTCAACTTCAAATAATTCGTAGCTTCTGAATATAACGTAAAGGGGAAGGCCTTCCACCTGAATGTATGCTTTAGTCAACCTATAAGCATTCATTCTGGAGAGAGAATTTATGAATGCGTTGAATGTGGGAAGGCCTTCAGCCTGAAGACACAACTTGCTAAACATCAATTCTGGAGAGAAACCTTTTGAGTTTGATAAGTCCTTTAGGCTAAGGACACTACTTTATGTCCATCAGGGAATTCATACTAGAGTGGTTCTTCAAGACTGTAAGGAGTGTGGCAAGATTCCCCAGCTGACTAGATTGATGCTGAGTCCCTAGATGCAGTTCAGAGATTCCTTATTTAGGCACTATGGGAGAAGGTTTCCCTTCTCCTTTGCAGAGGCCTCTAAAGGGGCAAATATTTATTGTATCCTCCCATGGACCTTCAGAGAGGGAGAGGTTACTGAACGGATGGTGGTATTGGGAGATCCTTTGTATTAACTGTATCCCTGGGCGTATGGCATACAAGACACTTGGGGATGACCTCTGGCCATGAGATGAGCTTGAGGCTAATGTGTGAAGAACAATTGTTGATGGTGCTTGAGGAATAATACATCATAATCTGAGCTGTGTTCCTGATGTTGCTAGTAGTGCTTCTGCTTCTATTCATTTGGGTTGCTACTGTGGGTTGTAAAGATTTGGAATCACGTTACTTAACACAGAGCATCCCTAGGGCCCGTGGCAGATGTTAACGCAATGTGATTTCTGCCCAGTGCTCTGAATATCAAAGGAAAGAAGTACGTTGAAGTGCAAGTAAAGGGCAGGATTAACTATGACCTTCTTATGGTAGTCAAATACTCTGTCATCTAATTGGTGACCCACGTGAAAAGAATAAGATTCCCATCGTGGTTAAAGAATAATAAACAGACTTTTCAGTGAAGAAAATCAAAGTGATCAATAATAATGAAAATGCTCTAAATCACTATGATTAGAGAAATGTAAATGAAAACAATTTGAAGTAACGTGTCACTACCTCAGATTGGCTATAGAAATAAGGAAAAAAAAATAAACAATGGTAAAGAAGAAACAAAATTATCACTTTTTGCAGATGATAAGATGGTGTATTTAACAACTCTGGAGAGACAGCTAAAAATTAATCAAAATAATTATTAATTTTAGCAATATTACACATATTCACAGAAAGCATGAACATCTCTATATCACACCAATAAAACCCAGCAAAAAAAGATAGAAAAAGAAATTACTTTTGCTAAAACTACAGAATACATAAAATACTTGAGACCATACCTACCAAGATACACATAAGAACTTTGTGAATAAAGCTATAAAACAATGTTCAAAGAAATAAAAGCAAGGGGGCAGCTAGGTGGTACAGTGGATAGAGTACTGGCCTTGAAGTCAGGAGGACCTGAGTTCAAATCCGGCCTTGGGGCAAACACTTGACACTTATTAGCTGTGTGACCCTGGGCAAATCACTTAACCCCAACTGCCTAAAAAAAAAAAAGCAAACATAAATAATTGGAAAACTATGAACCTTTTTTCTCAAAATGATAACACTATTTTAATTAATTTTCTTTTTCAGTTCACACCATTCAAACTACCAAAGGGTTAATTTATAAAATGAGAGAAAATAATAAGAAAATTCTGATGGGGGAAGAACGGTCAGGAATCTCAGAGGAAATAAAGGGAGGGAAGTGGACACAAAGTAGATTTAGCAGTGACAAATCTCAAACTATACTACTGTTTTCAAAATAATTTGGTCCTAGACAAAAAAAAAACCCAGTTTTAAGGGGGGCAGCTAAGTGGCACAGTGGATAGAGTCCTGGCCCTGGAGTCAGGAAGACCTGAGTTCAAATCTGGCCTCAGACACTTGACACTAGCTGTGTGACCCCGGGAAAGTCACAACCCCATTGCCTAGCAAAACAAAACAAGACCAAAAAAAATAATTTGGTCTTGGTTTAAAAATAGATCATTCAGGAGAACATTAGGAATACCACCTGGAGAGCGGAAACTAGTAGCCTAGAACTCAGTGAGCACAAAGACCCAAATTAGTGGGATAAAAAATATTTGATAAACATTGCTAGCAAAATTGTATGGCAATATGGAAGAAATGAGCTTTAGACCAAAACCTCCCACCTTGTACAAAGATAAGCCCCAGATGGGTGTGTGATCTAGGTATAAAAGATCACATATAAACACATTAGAGCAACATGGAAAAATTAGTATAAAATACACAGCATAAACTCATGACCAAACAAGAATCATAGAAGACAAATTGGATAATTTTGATTAAAATTTAAATGTTTTGTACAAACATTTAATAAAGCTTAGATTGAAAGGGAAACATTTGGTGGTGAGGCACGTATCTTTGTAGCCAGTTCAATAAAAATTTAACCTCCAACATATATAAGGCACTGATTTATAGGGATAAGAGCCATTCCCCAATTTGTAAGTGGCCTAAGGATAATGAACATCAGTTTCACAACGGAAAAACAGTATATATAACCATGTGAAACAATGAATTATTACTAGTTGAAGAATGCAAATTCAAGCAATTTTAAGGCTCCATCGCACAAGCATCAGATTAACAATGGTGACAAAAAACAAGGAACAGGAAAAAATAGGAGAGGTTATAGGGGAAAAGGCATATACATGAACTATTAGAGAAGTTATGAATGGGTCCAACCATTCTTAAAAGAAAATTTTGAAAATATCTCCCCAAAGTTATTAAATAGTACATGTCTTCTGGCTTAGATATCCCACTACTAGGCCTGTATCCTAGGGAGATTACAAAAGGATGAAAAAGTACTATATATACAAAAATGTTTATTGCAGTGCTTTCTGTGACAGCAAAAAAAAAAATCAGGAATGACTGAACAAATTGCAGGATATGTCTTTAATAGAATACTTTTGTGCTGTTAAGAAATAAGGAAATAGGTGATTTTTTAAAAGAGACATAGAAAAATTTGTATGAACTGATGCTGACTAAAGTAAACAAAGCCAGAAGAACAATTATAAACTAACAATAATACTATAAAAAGAAACAACTTTTAAAGCTGTAAGAGTTCTAATCAACCGAATGGCCATCCATAACCCCAGAGAACTGATGATGAGACACTGAATTTTGGAGGAAAAAAAATAAAAATTTTGGTTCATTTTTTTAAAAATCCCTTTGAGACCAAAGCCCTCATTTTGTAGATGAGGAAACTAAAGCAAAGAGAGACAAAATGATTTGCCCAGAATCACCCAGCTATTAAGTATCTGAGGTGAGATTTGAAAATAAGCCTTCTTTATGCCAAGTCCAGGACTATATGAATTATACTATGCTGACTCTCAGATGCAGTACCAAATATTCCCAGGCAATCTCCCCTCCACATTACCTAAGCCTGATTTTGCTTAGCTTCTGAGATGAGGTCAGGTTAGACACTTTCAAGGAGGTATAGCCACATGTTTAGGACACATCCAGGATGATGGAAATATAGATGAAAGACATCCACAAGCAAGTGATTTGAACCCAGGAGTGCAGAGCACAATGGATCACTATCCATCACCTTAACCTCTCTTCCATCTTGTCCCAGTCTTCTTTGTCATCTAGAACATGTAAGAGGGCATAGTTTGTTTCTCCAAGTATTCACTCAAGATCAGAGGATTTAGAATGGTGCCCTCCAAGCATTTGTTTTTAGGAATGAGGAAACTGGAGTAAGAGTTATGTATTGACAGAGCCAAGCTCATATACTCAATCCCTTTTATGGTTTATAGGTTTCTGTTTATATTCAAAAGAAGGTCCTTTTTGCATGAATGCTCCCTGTGACCGAACAGGTTGTAGGCCAGGATTCTGTGACCCAGACCTAATGCAGCTGGAGTGAATTCCACCACCATTCACCAAATTACCTGGAACTCACAAAGGGAGGGGTGGGTAGTTGTGGTCCTTGGGGGAAAAGTGGCCATATCTACTAAGCGTGTTGGTATAGTGAATAAAGGATCACAAAAAGAGTCAGGAAGACCTGAGTTTAAATCTATCCAGCCTTAGAAAGTTGCACTAGCTGTGTGACCAAAGGCAAACTTGCCTCTGCCCCAGCTTCCCCATCTGTAAAATAGAAATCATAATAACACATATCTCCCAGGGTTGGTGTGAGGATAAAATGAGATATTCATTGTAGAGTGCTTAGGACAGTGCCTGGTACATACTAGGTGCTATATCCATGTTAGCTATTATTTTTGCTTGTTTGTTTGTTAGCTTGTGTTCTATTCAGAACATTCCTGTGCATACTTCTTTTACCTAAACGGGGGTATATTGGTAGTAAAAAGAAAAGGGAATCTGGCCTTTCTAATGGCACAATAACTTTTCAGTGGACCAGTGATTTCACCATCTGACTGGTTTGATTTGGTTTTTAATCTACAAAATGGGCATAACAGAAACACCTTCCACTCAGGGTTGTTGTGAAGGTCAAATGGGACAGTATATTCAAGCTTTTAGCACCGTTCCTGGCACATAATAGGAGCTATATAAATGCTTATTTCCTCCCTCCCCTATATTGATTTCCAGAAATACTGAATATTTGAAATGGGTTTGTTTTGTTTAGTTTTGTTTTTTGACTGCTTGAAGTATTTTCTTCTTGACCTGGTTGCTCTGGAATTTGGCTCTTATATTCCTGGGAGTTTTCATTTTGGGATCTCTTTCAGGAGGTAATTGGAGGATTCTTTTAATTTCTATTTTACTCTCTGGTTCTAGAATATTAGGGCAATTTTCCTGGATATTTTTTGAAAGAGGTTGTGTAAGCTCTTTTTTTTATCATCATTTTCAGGTAGTCCCGTAATTCTTTAATTACTCTCCTGTTTTCCAGGTCAGTTGTTTTTCCAATGAGATATTTTACATTGTCTTCATTTTTTTCATTCTTTTGATTTCATTTTATTGTTTCTTGAAGTGTCACAAAGTTATTACCTTCCACTTGCCCAATTCTAATTTTTAAGGAATTATTTTCTTCAGTGAGGTTTTGTACCTTCTTTTCCATTTGGCCAATTCTACTTTTTAGGGATTTCTTTTCTTAAGTAGATGCTTGTAACTCTTCTTCCGTTTGGCCACTTCTGCTTTTTAAGAAGTTATTCTCTTTGGTGAATTTTTATGCCTCTTTAACATTTGGCCTATTTTTTTTTTTTTGGCTAGGCAGTGGGGTTAAGTGACACAGTAAGTGTTATGTGTCTGAGCCCAGATTTGAACTCAGGTTCTCCTGACTCTAGGGCTGCTGTTTTATCCACTGCATCACCTAGCTGCCCCCCTAAAAGTGTTGTTTTCTTCAGTATCTTTTTTGTGCCTCCTTTACCAAGCTTTTGCCTTTTTTTTCATGATTTCCCCACATCATTCTCATTTTTCTTCCCAATTGCCTCTCTTTCTTAGTTTTTAAAATTCTTTTTGAGCTCTTCCATGGCCTGGCACCAATTCCTATTTTCCTTTGAGCCTTTGGATGTAGGAGTTTTAACTTTGTTTTCTTCTTCTGAGTTTGTGTTTTGATCTTCCCTGCCACCATAGTAACTTACTGTATTAGGATCTTTTTCTGCTGTTTGTTCATTTTCCAGTCTATTTCTTGACTTTTACCTCTATGCTCAAATGGGGCTCTGCTTCTAGAATGGAAGGGACACTGTCCTGAGTTCAAGGTTTTTTTGTGCAGCTATTTGTAGAGGCAATTCTGGGGACCTGTTTCATTTCTTCCAATTTGGCATGATCTAGGGAGGGGTGTGTTTACTACTCTCCTACACTATGGTTTCTGAGCAACCACAAGCACTCTTTTCCACGCTGGAGCTGTGTCTGTTTTAGCTGCTTTCTTACCTTGCTTCTTTTGTCTGTACTTTTCTTTTTTTCAGTCAAACCTGATTGGTGAGTTTGCCATGGATACACTTTAGTCTGTCCAGCCAAAATTCATTTTTCTACTTGATTGGAATTTTTTCTTTCTCTCTTCAGCATTTCATCATTGAGCTTCCCCCATCCCTTTTTGGTTGACTTCCCCCTAAGCATTTTATTCCATGGGACCATACCTCTGCACCTTTCCTATGACACACTTTAAATTTACTTTCTCAAACTCTAGAGTATAGTTGGATTATATTGGGGGGTTTTTTGTAATTTGATTTTAATGTAAAAGGTTTTGTAATATCAAAATTCATTCTTCTGTCCTGTTATTGGATATTAAAATATATTTTTTTAAATATTAGCTAACTTGTGATCAATTTAACATGAAAACACATATCTGATATATATCATATAACATGATATCAAAAATTTAGTTTAAGCACTTTTTTTCATAACATTTAAAATCATTCTAAGGCCCATGTGCAACTTTACATTCCAACAAAAAAAATTTTTTAAAAAATAATTTTTTACATCTAAAGGAAAAATTGCACTGCCTATATCTTGACACTATAGGATACAATCCAACCTACCTCCAGCAACCAAACATCTGAATTACATTAGGAAACTATAAATCATTCTCTTAAACAAATGAAGAGTGAAAGAGTTTTATCTGTAAGAATTACTAAATGCACCAAAGGAAGCATATGTTTTCTCTTCTTTGGGATAAATCTTTTTTTTTAAATAAATAATTTACTTTTAATTTTCAACATTCACTTCCATAAGATTTTCAATTTTTAATCTAAGGCCTTTACCAGGTCTGTTTATCTGGGGCAACACCCATTTATTAAAGCCTAAGCAAGAATTGAGGCAAAAGATGGTCTACTTTGCATTCACAAAAGAATCAGTCTGGGAGGGGAAGAACCTAAGAGTTTCTCTAGCTGAAGAAGAGAGTTCTGGGCATGGAATCAAGAAGACCTGAGTTCAAATCCAAGCTCAGGCACCTGCTAGTTGTGTGAACCTGACCAAGTCACTTCGCCCTAGTTTCCACAACTATAAAATAGGGTCTATAATAGCTTCCCAACGCTGGCCTGAGGACCAGAGGGGATAGTGCTTCTAAAGTACTTAGCCGTGCCTGGAACACAGTAAGCTCCACATAAACATTAGCTCTTAGTTTTATTGAGCCCATCTACCAGATGACTGGCATTCCCCAGGCACAGCTAAACGCTCTCCACGTCTCCTGGTTCCCCTCGGGTCAATCTCCTTGGCACAGTTAACAGGGACAAAGCGAGCGCGGCCCGGCTCTGCATTCTCCCCGTGTCCATGATCCTCGTCCCACGGACCCCACAAAGGGCCCGGCCCTTCTTGGATCCTCAGCTTTTCCCCGACATCGCTTTCCCAAAACACAGCCCAGGATAAAGCAAAGCCCTCCGTCGTCCCCGCGGTCCCACCTGGTGGCCGGCGCCCACTTGACCTCACCTGCTGCCCCGGGCCCACTCGTGTCCTGCTCCTCCTAGAAGCCCCTGAGGACTGAGCGAGCGCTCCAGGAATCCAGCCCCCTGCCCGTGGTTTCCCTTCTCAGAGCCGAGGCTTCCCGGCGTGTTTGCGTCACTTCCTGCGGGAAGATGCCGACGCACAAGAAGCATTTCATTAGAGCCGCGGCCTGTTGTGACTGGTTGCCGGAATGGGAGAGACTGCGGGCTGGACCAGCCTTGGAGGAGCCCCAGGACCCCCTCAAGGTCTGGAACCCCATGCCTGGTGACTCCCCGTGGGCTCTGGGGCTGTGAAGACCACGCACGAGGTAAGGGGACGAACGGAGGGGGCGGGGCTCCTGACGAGAGGGGCGGGGCGGGGCAGGGAGGCAGGACCGGGGGAGGGGCCGATACCCAGACATGCGCAGAAGGCGCCTCAGCCTCCAGACTACGATTCCCAGAAGGCCGTGCTCGCCTCAGGGGCATTTTCCAAGCTCACGGGCGGGAGGGGTTTCCGTCTTATGAAGACATTTTCTCCTCTTCTCTCTGCCTCTTCCACGCTTGCTGGTTCCCACTTCCCCTTCCCTGTCCTGAGCTGAAGTGTGACGGGGTGAGCGGGGACCGAGAGCGGGGCCAGGCCAAGGCAGAGCCTCCTGCGGGGCTGCGGCGGGGTCGGAGCACACGGAGAATAGGAGGAGCGTCCGCCAGAGGAGGCAGGAAGCCCCCGAGGGCCTCCCAGCGGTCTGGGGGCGGCCCATGCGGGGAGGGAGGGCGGAGGTTGGAGGCCGAGCAGACGGAGGCGGAGCCTGGGGGGTGGATTCTAATCCTCCTTCAGTCACGCCCCCTGCCCCCCTCCCTGATCTCCCCGCGGTGGAGAAGTGGGAATGTCTGGTCTCTGAGCAGGGCAGACCCCCAGCGTGACCCCTCATTCTCTTGCTTATCTTTTCCTCCCTAGCACTACCTTCTGTGGCCTCTGCTCTGCCCCAGGAGGACAGCCTGGAGGAAGAGGGAATGGCTCCAGCCCTGACAGCCAGGCCCGGGAAGATGAGTACCACTTGCTGCTTTCCTGAAATAGCATCTCAGGCCAGAGACCGTGGGATAGGTTTTTTTGTCCTATGCTATAACACTAGGAATTGTGGGCATCAGACAATCATATTTAGAGCTGAAAGATACCATAGACACCAAGTTATCCTCTCCACATGCAAAAAAAGACCTAATTACATTTACTTTTTGTTTTTTTAAATTTTGTGTTCTAAATTCTTTAGCTCCTTCCACTTCTCCCCCCACCCATTGATAAGGCAGACAATAGGAAATCCGTTTTGCATGTGAAGTAATGCAAAACATTTTCATATTGACCCCATCTAAAAAAAAGTGCAAGAAAAATGAAAGTGAAAAAGAATATTCATCAGTCTGCACTCCCAAGTTCATCAGTTCTCTTGTCATATTTTATAATTAGTCCTTTGGAATTTTCATGGATCATTTTAATATTACATAAACTGTTTGAAAATACAGAAAGAGAAAGATTCCTACCAAATTGCTTTTACAAAGATGATGTTACCTAAAATGGAGAGATGACAGTACTATTCCATCAAGGTTATATATTATGAGATTGGACATATATAAGGCATTCATATTTGGTTCAAAATTAAGAGCACTATTGACATAATAAACTATATAAGGTGAACAATAAAAAGCATATGGTTATATCAGTAGATGCGCACGAGGCTTTTGACAAGATATGACACCTATTCCTCTTAAAAATGTAAATGATAGGAATAAAGGAAAATTAAGGTTCACTGAGGTTCCCCCTCACACTTATCAGATTGGCAGAATTGACAAAAAAGTAAAATGAGAAATTCTAGATGGCCTGTGGGAAAACAAATACCTTAATATGTTGTTGATAGTTGTTGTGGTAGTGGTGGATCCTTTTCCAGAACCATGACATCAGGAAGATGGGAACATGAGTTGCAAATGAATTGGGTTTAAGGGAAGAAAGGCTGTGCAAGGTCACCAAGCCTCACTTTCTCATCCCATCTGCGTCCAGTGGCAAGATAGAGATCAGGAACAGTGGAGATGGTTCTGCATGCTGTGAGAGACCTTGGCCTTTTGAAGCTAAGGTCTTTAGGAGTTCTCACTTTGACTGAGGCAAAGCCCCATTAAGTGATTAAGGCTGGTTTAGAAATGTGGGAAGGAATGTCCCTTTTTGTATCACAAAAAATAAATAAATCTATCTGAGAGGGCAGAACCTCAGGGTTTCTGTCCAAAACAGAAACAATTACTGGAGCCCAAACCATGACCACTAAGTGGTGCTTGGGCTGGGATCTAGTGTTGGCTGTTCTGTGAGAGCCAGTGAATTGGGTTTAAGGCTTGATCTTTAAGAAAGAAATAAGCCAGTAAACTCCAAGAGCATGATAGCTCCTGTGGACAGAGGGAGAAGTAGGAGTAAAGGGAGAGGAAGGAGCTGATTTGCTCCACTGGCCAGTTGGGTCCCCAGTGGGGCAGTTCAAACTACTCACAGGTTATTGTTTGTCCTTCATTCTGAAGAGGACCATGTCATCAGGAGGATGATTCCATGACTTGCAAATGAATTGGTTTTAAGTGAGGGTGGGCTGTACAAGGTCACAAGCCTCACTTTTCTCCTCTGAAGCCATTTGAGTCCAGTGGCAAGATATAGATCAGCAAGACTTGAGATGGCCCCTCCTATTGGTGGATCTACAACTTGGACCAGCCATTTTTGAAAGCACTTTGGAATAATGCTGAGAAAATTACTAAACTGTGCACATACTCTTTGGCCCAGCAGTACTACTACTAGGTGCAAAGGGATCAGAAAAAGAGAAAATGACCCATATGTACAAAAACATTCATAGCAGCTTTTTGTGGTAACAGAATTGGAAACTGAGAAGATTCCCATCATTTGTGGAATGGCTAAACATTATTATGGCATGCAGAGGTGATAGAAAAATATTGTACTATAAGAAATCACACAAGGAGCTTTTTCATAGAACCCAAGGAAGACTTGCATGAATCACTGCAGAATGAAGTAAACAGAGCAGGAGAAAAATGTATCCAATGACAACATTGTAAAGACAGACCACTTTGAAAAATTTAAAAACTCTGATCAGCACAGTGACCAACCATTTTTTTCTCAAGAGGACTCCTGATGAAATATGCTACCCAACTTCTGACATTTATGTGATTGATTTCTCTACTTGCCGTTCCAGTGAATAATCTGAATTAATTTGACCTCTTTCCTTTCCAAGGGACTTTTAAAAGTATTCACCATCACCACAGTTCAAAAGCATGCATTCTGTGGCACTCAGCTTTCCTCCTGTTTTGGACATGGCCAAATTGGGGATTTGTTTTGCTTGCCTTTGAATTACTGTTACAAGGATTTTGCCTATCTTTAGGGGGAAGTGGGGGTACTAGAAAATAGATTTTTGTTAAGGGTGGCCCTCCTTCCTTAGACTGGAGGAGGAAGCATGAGAAGAATCCCTTTTGGTCTTCCTCCCTTCTGGTACCCTGATATGTCATACATTTCTGATAATGTATAATAATGGTTTAAGACTCAAGTTCTTGATTCCTATCTGCTTTTTGGGTAAATGCTGTGTTAAAGTGAATTAAACTAGAGAGTGAAGAGGCAGCACAAAGAAAAGACTAGGTTGTGTGTCAGAAGGCTTGAATTTGAGATTTAGATGTAATTTTTAATAGCCAATTGACTTGAAGCATAACTAATCATGAGAATAAAAATGTTTATAATTACCTTTAATTGAGGATGGATGGAAGTAGCTTCCCCTAAGCTTCCATGCAGTAGACTGGAATGAGGCAGGGAATACACATGTTCTAAGAAATAACTGTCTTTATAAGCCATTTATTCATTTTACAATTGAATATGACTTTTATTTTGTTGTTTATAAACTGTATAGACTTTATTGATTAGTTTAGAAGTATTGATTTGCTAAATATAAATTTTATATTGTCACTATTTTTAAGCACATATTAATGTTTAATAAGTAATGGTTTTTGGCCTAGAAATTCACAGGCCTTATGATTTTAAGAGTGGACCTAGAGAAATAAGGACATTCTAAGAATATTAAAGAGAAAGGTCAAAGAATTAGAAGGTAAATTCATAGCAAGGGTTGAATCGGGGGAACCTACTTAGCTTGGTGGCACAATGGATAAAGCAATACACACAGAATCAGGAAGACCCCAGTTCACATCCTGTCTCAGACACTGTGACCCTGGCAAGTCATTTAAACTCTGTCTCACTTTTCTCATCTGCAAGATGGGTATAATAATAGTACCCTGATTGTTACAAGGAGAAAATGAAATAATATTTGTAAGGTGCTTTGCAAACTGTTAGCTATTGTTATTTTTACTCTGTGAATTCCCTGATCATTCAAAACTATCAGATACCTTAACAATAGGGAATAGTACCTGGGAACTGATTTACATATCCCCTTTGGAGGAGGAGGAGGAGAAAGAAGAGGAGGAGAGGAAGTGGAAGGGGAAAGAGGAGGAGTTAGTTAAGAATATAAAGTTTTAATAAGACAAGAGCGTCCAACAGCAAGGAGGTTGAAAAAATTCAAGTCTGAAAGAGACAGCTTACCTGTGAGTGGGAGAAAAGCTAGGTCTCTTACACTAGAAATCGATAGTACACTAGAAATTAATAGCCCTCCTTTGGGCAAGGCCAAAGCTAGATCCCCTGTGCCAAAATACCATGACATGTTGTAGTGAAGGAAACGTTGCTAGCTTAAATTAAGAATCTGCACTGGAGAAGATCCATGTCTTCCTAGGAGTCTACCATAGGGAGACTTGATTATTTATCTTCCACTAGTATGGATAATTCAGCAAAAAGAGTCAAGCAAAAACATTTTCGCCATCTTTGAACATATGCATTTCGTTTTGCACTTGTAGGCCAGGCCTTCTTTGCAACAAGGTGGGAAGTATCAATCAACCAATCAATAAATAAGTATTTTAAGTGCCTGTTAAATGCACTATGCCAAGAACTGTGAATATAAAGGGGAAAATAAAGTCTCTGCCCTCCAGGAACTTACAGTCTAATGGTGGAGTTTACAATGTAAGCTTCAACATGAGCCTTCTGGAGTTGTGGCTGGTTGATACATTTATTATGATCTTTAAATCTTTTAAAGTTGCTTTATAATATTGTAATCATTGGGTTTTTTTTCCTGGTTCTATTCATAACCCTCTGTGTCTGTTCATATATAATTCTTCGTGGTTTCTCTGGCCCTCATTACCTCACAATTGTATTATTGCAATAGCCTGAATCAAGTCTCTCCGCACTCTAATCCATCCTCAATTTAGCCACTAAAGTGATTTTCTCAAAACAAAGGTCTGATCATGTCACCCCCCTCCCCCAACTCAATAAACTCCAATGGCTTCTTATGACCTCTGGAATCGAATATAAAATGTTCTCTTTAGCTTTCAAGCCTTTCGTATGTAACCCCTCCTACCTTTCTAGTCTTCTTACACCTCGCTCCCTACCCTTTGATCCAGTGACACCAGCCTCCTGGATGTTCCACAGACAAGATACTCCAAGTCCTCTGTCTAACTGTCCCCCATGCCTGGAATGCTCTCTGTCCTCTACTCGGACTGCTAACCTCTCTGACTTTCTTTAAGACTCAGTAAAATCCCACCTTCTAGGGGAAGGCTTCCCCAACCCTTCTTAATTCCAATGCCTTCCCTTTTTTATTTATTTCCTGTTTATTTTGTACATAGCTAGCTTTCTGTATTTGTTTGCATGTTGTCTCCTCCATTAGATTGTAAGTGCCTTGAGGGCAGAGACTCTCTTTTCTCTTTTTGTGCCCCTGGTGCTTGGCGCATAGTAGGCACTTAATAAATGTTGATTAATTGATTGAAATCCATCCTTTTGTCATTTCTTACAGCACAATAATATATTATATTCAAATACCATCATTTCTAATATAACTTTAAAAAAAAGAAATAAACATAAAAAAGAAAACTCTTAATGGTTTATTGTCCTTAGCATTTATTTCAAGATTTATATGGTATAGTGGAATGAAAGCTGTCTTGAGAAGCACAAGATTTGGGTTCAAATCGAGCCTCTAATATTTACTACTTTCATGGTGAGCAAGTCACTTAACCTCTGTAGGCCTCAGTTTCTTCATCTGTAAAATGAAGGCACCAGACTAGATTGCCTTTGAGGTCTCTTCCAGTTTCATATCTGTGACTATAAGTTTATACTTTACTATTTTTATAGGACTTGACCACTCTTTTATCTTCATCTTGTGATTTACCTCACTTGTACGTTTCCTTTTAAACCTGAATTTGTTCATCAACTCACTGGGTAGCTACATGTCTCTTTATACACCTCCTTTTTTTTCACCTTAGAATCAATTGCAGCTCTCTCACCAGAATTTCACTGTCAAGTTTCCTGACTCCCTGCCAGAGACAGCCTTAGGTCATAGGATCCTATCCATCCTATTTGTGAACTCTAAAATCCTGGAGTCTAGAGTATTCTCCTTGGACTAATATGAATTTATTCAGGCTCTTATTAGAGTCAGGATCCTCTGAGACTATGTTCCTAAGTGTCTCTGGGCTTGCCATGGCTCTGTGTTAAAAGGGCCCTGCAGCTGAGCCCTGAAATAGCTACTTGCCCAGATCAGAGTAAAGACATCAGTTTGCTCCATTAATTCTGCTAATAACCTCTGGGATGTTGCAGCAACCTCTTGTTTCCCACACAGTCAGGGTAGAAGAGCCACCATGCTTGAAGCAGAGATAGGGAGGCTGTAGTGTAGGGAAAAGACAAGCCTTAACAGATTATGGATCTGCAGAGTTAGAGGAAAAAAAGAAAGAAAGCAATTAGTCTAGAGTCCCATGGTCAAAAGACATGTTTATATTGCCCACCCCACTTCCCAAGTGAGTTGAATGACTGGCTATATTGCTGCTGTTTCTGCCTCTGAGCTGGTAACGTGTAAAGTTAACACATGTAAAATGCTTTGCAAACCTTAAAGCACTACATAAATGCTGGTTATCATGGTTATTCAGATTGAGTACTTTAGAGGGCAGAACCCAATGGGAAGCTCAGGGGTGTGGCCAAGTAGAGGCAGAGTAGGCAGCACCCTATGGGATAGGATTTGAGGGATGGGGAGAAGGCTGCCTGCCTGCGCCACAGATATCTCCTGCACCAGCCTCTTACTGCACTTGAGATTCCACCATCAGAAATTCATTTCTTAGCCTGAAAGCATTGGGTTTCTGGAAGCTCTTGCTAACAAAGCAAATACTCTTTGGAGGGGTAACACAGGAAGCTGCTCTCAGCTTGGTATGAATTAGTTGAGCACATTGGAAGAAGAACAAGGCCTTCCTGGAAAGGGACATTGGACAGATGAGACAGATTTTTAAATTAAATTAATTTTTTTTTAAGGAGAGAGAAGACAGAGAAAGAGGTCCAGAGTATGAGCCTGGGAAGGACAAGCCTGGGTGAAGTTCCACGTAAAGGTCTCTGAAAAGCAGACAGAGAAGCTTTGTTACAGAAGTGGGAACTATTGAATGCTCATGAGCAGAGGAATTATTTGAGACAGTGTGAGCAAGTGGAAGAACTCTGGGGATCCTGTTCTCTGTTCGTGTCTTGACTCTGTTAGTTGCTTACTTGTCACATGGTCTTGGGCAAGCCACTTACCCAATACTCAATTTCATCCTTTATAGTAAGAAGGTTGAATTCTACATGATCCTCATAGACACCTTACAGCTCCATTTATAATTCTGTGATAGAAGCGATATTTAAGTAATACTAAATCTGATGGTGATGTGCAAGCTAGATTAGAAGGGGGAAACTGTATGGAGTTAAAGAGGAATTCAGGCACGTGAGGATAATGAGTTGGAATGAGATGACAAGGGCCTAGTCTAGGGCTGGGAATTAAGAGATAGTTATGGGCACCAGAGATTTGTTTGGGGGAAAAAGCAATGGAACAAGGGATGAAAGAAAGAGACAACCTTCAGCTGCTTCATAATAGTGCCTCAGGTCAGGACTCCATGTACCCTGCATAGCTGAATCAATGGGAACAGACCATTTCTCATTGCATGGTTTGGGCCCTTAAAAGACAATTCTCCCCAAGCTTGGAGTCTAAAGGTAGTGTGAGTTTAGGGCTCTTTCTGGTGAGATTCAGGTTTGTGTTGGATTATACTGACCTAGAAATAGCCCCAAAACAAATCTTCTTTGAAGATACAGAGTTAGGGGTTCCCCTACACATTTTCCAAAAATAACTTGATGTAGGGATAGGGAAAAAAATTGTGTATATCTGTGTTATTGTTGTTGTTTCTTGAAGAAGACCAATGACATTACAAGGGTGACGTCTTGACTTGTATATGTTTTATGTGAGGCAGAGCTGTACAAAGTTGTCAGCCTAGTCAGCCCTATGTATAGTGATTAGGTGGATACAGGGCTGGATAAACTTGGGAAAACTCATTTCCCCTATCGGCCTCAGTTTCCTCATCTATATAATGAGGGGTTTGGACTAGATAATCTCTAAGAACCCTTGAAGAACATAAGCTTCGTGAGGACAGGGACTGTCTCATTTTTGTATTTGTATCCCCA